TGAAAACTCTTTAAAAGTTTAAAATATAATATTACCTTTTTTGTTTTATGACTGGCGTTGTGAATACCAGCCAATCGAAATCATCCACGTTAGAAAACATGCATGTATAAAATGTCTATTCAATGTAAGGTCATCATTTAAACTACACTTGTATTCTGAAAGACATACATCATTGTAAGTTAGCTTTGTAGTAAATAATTTGTTAAAGATAATATATAAGTATTTGCATTAAAAAAATTATATTCATGTTTACATATTTTCTAAGTATAATTAAAAGTAAAAATAATTAGAAAATTTGATATTTACAATATATTTCAACGAGCTATATAAAATGATTTCAATATTTGGTATGAAAAAGGTTCAATTAATAATATCTTTCATTTAATTTTATTGTAAGTTAGCTTTGTAGTAAAGTAGTTTTTATTAATAATATATGTTTATTTGCATTAACAAAATGTTTTTATGTTTACGTATGTTTAGTCTCTCATTTTCTCGTATACGGAGTTTAAAGAAGGGCAAATTACAAAATAGAGTATTCACAAATCTCGACGATTTAGACCTCTCTGAGTAGTAAAAAATTAATTTTGCAATCTTGTCTGTTTGTCTGTGTGTGTGTTTAAGTGTCTGTGTGTCTGTCTGTGTACTTAATAACTTGACCCCATTTACAACGAGATTGACAACAATTTGCATATAAGTATTATATTATAATTTTTTTTATATTATATGTTGTGTGCGATTTCCAGTAATGGAAGTGGAACTTATTCTACTTTCCGTACACATTAGTTTTTTCTAAGGATAATCAAGAAAGTTTAGGGGAGATCACTCCCGCATTATATCTCTGCAAAAAAGTAAAAATAATTTTATATTATAAATAAACAATGTATTTTAACGGGCAATGTAAAATGTATTATCTGTTTAAAATGGAATATGTACAATTAATTCATTGGTTTATACAAAATTACTTTGATGAAACTGTGTAGAAACGCAAAACTTTATATTTAAGATATTTATTTCAGATTTACTTAGCTGATTAAAATGAAGATCGCAGTTCTTCTTCTTCTGCTTTGTATGGCAAATCTCTTTGTTGTATCAGACAGGTGAGTCTACTCGAACTATCTTCATTCAATAGGATTGTAAATATAACAATTTGTTTAAATTATAATTCATTGTTTATGCAGAGCATCGTACTTAAATTAAATACACTTTTTATAAAATTAGCATATATATATATATATATATATATATATATATATATATATATATATATATATATATATATATATGCATAAAAAGATAGAGGAGAAAATGTATATATATACATATATATGTATATAATATTTATGTTTATACCTATGTTGTCTTCTTTATCAAACAGTTGTTGTAAACTGAGAGGTGGAAGCTGTACAAAAGATGATGATTGTTGCGCAACATATTTTTGCGCACATGTTAGGTATTGAATATTTTTTAGTCATTAAAATAATGAGTAGCATTTTCTTTTATAATATAAGTATAAAGGTGTTTATTTTTTTTTAAGGTTCATTGCAACCGATTCAAATTTAAGCCGCCAGAAGTACACAATGTTTTTAGCATGTACTATTGTTCAATTTCTAATTACTTTCTCGTAAAGAAAGTATTGTAATCGTGCAAAAAAATCGAGATTTTTACAAATCTCGACTTTTTACACCTCACTGATACGGAAAAACATAATTTTGCAATCTTGTCCGTATGTCTTTGTGTCTGTGTGTCTGTCTGTCTGTGTGTAAACACGATAACTTGAGTACCGCTACAGCTAGGTTGATGAAATTTAATATATAAGTATTTTATCAAAATCGTAGATCCGAATCAACTTTTGAGCGATTTCCGATAACCGGAAGTGGTACTTTTTCTACTTTGAATTTTTCAAAAGCCTATAACTTGAGTACAATTTCACATAGATAAATGAAATTTCACACGTAAGTAAAAGATCTAATTCTCTCTACCTTCTGTTAAATTTTGAGTAATTTCCGTTGACCGGAAGTACTAATTTACGCTATTTCCGATTTCTCACAAACCGCATGTAAATTTATAAAGTACTAATAATATTGCGCACTATTATGCACATTTTGTATTGGCGTTCGCTTGGTGCACAATTCTTTTTTCTATGAGATTGTATTCTATTTTTTTCAAAGTTTAAGTAATTAAAAATCATGTCTATATTCCACGTTATATAAGAATATTCGAGAAAGTTTAGGGGAGATCACTCCCGGTTTATTTTTACTTTATTTTAACTTCAATAAGCTCGGTTTACAGTGGAAAATAAACCGAGAGTGATCTCCCCTAAACTTTCTCGAATATTCTTATATAAAATAACAGGGGATGGGAACTGGGGCTATAGACATGATTTTTAATCCATTTTAAATACTTAAAGTTTTAAAAATAGAATAAAATCTCGTAGACAAATTAATTGCACACCAAGTGAACGCCAAATAAAAAAGCGCATAATAGTGCGCAATATTATTAGTACTTTTAAAATTTACATTAGTTTTTTGAGAAATCGGAAGTAGCGTAAAGTACTACTTCCAGTCAACGGAAATTACTCAAAATTTAACAGAAGGTAGAGAATTAGATCTTTTACTTACATGTGAAATTTCATTTATCTATCTGAAATAGTACTCAAGTTATAGGCTTTTGAAAAATTCAAAATAGGAAAAGTACCACTTCCGGTTATCGGAAATCGCTCAAAAGTTGATACGGATCTACGATTTTGATAAAATACTTATATATGAAATTTCATCCACCTAGCTGTAATGGTACTCAAGTTATCGTGTTTACACACGGACAGACACACAGACACACACACACACAGACATACGGACAAGATTGCAAAATTATGTTTTTCCGTATCAGTGAGGTGTAAAACGTCGAGATTTGTAAAAATCTCGATTTTTTTTTTTTGCACGATTACAATACTTTCTCTATACTTCGTATATACGAGAAAGTAAAAAGTGAAGAATGTATACTAGCCATGTCTCATAATTGAAAAGGGAATTCTTGGCAAGATTTTATAGGGAACTAATCCATAAATATTTCATAACCTTGAGCTGCCATTTCCTACTTACGGTCACGCCTATTTTTCAAACGTTAAGACACAAGTTTAAATAAGAGAGTTGTTATTGTCACTTTACTACAACGTATGTCACCACAGTTGTATTTTCTAACAGATTATTGCAAAAGTTCAAGGAAGACATGTAATATAACCTTGTATTTCGTCTTCATACATGTCTTTGAATTTCATCCACCTAGCTAAAAGTGTACTCAATTCATTAATTTTTCTTAAACAATAGAGTAAATTAGCACATCAATATTTTAAAGGTTTAAAAAAAAATTCAGAAATCAGCGTTTTTAATCTAAATCTTATATATGAAATCACCTCCATCGAGAAAATCGGTATTTACGTTATTAGCTTTTAAAAAACTGGAAGTAATTTTCACTTTCGTTAAATGGAAATTGCTAAAATGTTTACAAAAATCTACACATTGGATATAATAATTATATACAAAATTTTGTCTACCTGGCTAAAACGTCCCTCTGGTTATTACGACCACAGACTAACACAAGTACAGAACCAATATTGCAAAAATTAGTTTTTCTACCCAAGAGTATCAAGATTTGTAAAAAATCTCTATTTTTTTGCATGATTACAATACATTTTCTATACTCGGTGAACAAAACAATAAATAAAAATATTGCAGCAAAAAGTGTTTGCTGTGTTCAGATATACAACACCTAGTATGTAATAGCTTTAGAAAAAAATAGCTTGATTATAGTTGTTGTTGTTTTTATATTCACTTTCGATACTGCGCTACAGAAATTGTGAATATTTCGAAAACTATAACTAGAGGTGTCCAAATCATAAGAGCGACATGACATAAACTTATTTTCATCCAAAAACTATTCTAATAAATAAAATCTCCATATATAATAGTTTAATCTTAATTTTCTCTAATTTTTAGAAGGGACACTTACGAATGTATTCAACATGGGAAATAAAAGGTAAAGTTTGTGAAAAAGTGCTGAAAAATAATGATTGTTTTAAGGTTGTTAAAATAATTGTTAAACATGTATATAGTTAAATTTTCGTTTGTATGTTTGCTCTAAACGCAATCTTCTTCCGTCTAAAATTTAACAGGCTTAATAGCTAGTCAAAGATACCCGCAAAATGAAAGGCCAATACGAACACCCACCTCAACCTACAGCCGTATCAACACACAACAGCCATTCCTCCTTTCGCATGTTCCGCAACCCTCCGAGCTCGCTGCCGTCTCCACCCCACCCCCACCCGGAACGAAATGGAATTTATTTAGAAAATATATACATTTATCAGTGTCCACCCCCCCCCCCCCTCCCGAAAATGTTGACCGTCCCCCCCCCTCTCCGAAAATATTAAGTGCCCCCCCCTCCCATCCCGGACAAAAAAGTCTGGAAGAAACACTTTTGCCTACACGTTCGCTATTAACATTATTTGCGTCATTTCTACATCCGAAATCGTAACATCCTAATCAAAAAATTCAGCCTCTCTCTTGCCACCAAATTAACCCCATCTTCTATTATTCATACAATTTTAAAAAGACAAAAAATTATACCTTAAACACAAAAGTTGCTGTACAATATTTTACTCAGCAAAAAATTTCACAATTTTGACATAGCCTACTAAACGGGTTGCGACGATAAAAAAAAAATAGAAACGTTTTCGAATTACTGAATTTAAAAAAAAATTCGTTGATAAATGATGTACAAGTTTAAAAGTATGCGATCAAAAAGTATTTGCGCACTTTATAAATTATTTTTTTTAAAGGATATGATACGGAACAGTCTGTATGTTTAGAATAGTATTTTCATTTTAATATTTGTAAATATATGCATTGGATTGTAATTAACACTCTAATGTTATTTTTTTCCCTTGCAGAACACAAAATGTATAAAATAAACTTCTGGAAAAAATAAATATCCGGCATTGACAATTGTTTTTATGTTGTTTTTTTTTTACTTTAATTAATTGTTAACTAAATGAAGGTGAATTTTAGTAGAACATTCAATCCGTTGTGTCGCCAGATATAAACTCTAACTCTCTCTCTCTCTCTCTCTCTCTTTATATATATATATATATATATATATACGGAAACCGGCTCAGAAGTTGAGTTCCATTAGCCAGGCAGGCCTCAGTGTAGCAAACTCCGACACATGGTGGTAGTAGCAAGTCGTTTAGTGTCGGTTTGATCGCTACACGTCGGTCGCTTCTCCGTCGGCTCTCACCGGGCTTTCCTTCCCCACCCACCAGACGCAGGACGTCGTCCTACCGCCTGGTACCCAGCTTGGTCGCGGGGGTGGGGGGGGGGGCATTCGGACAGATCAAAAACCTCTAGCTGCTGTTAGCTGCCACTAGCCATTCCGCACCCACTAGGGGGGGTCATGAGCTTAGTCCGACTAATGGCACTCTTCCGGAGCCACGTGAAGGCCGCAGCTTAAAGTCAAAATATCTGGTTAGGGTTGAGAGCAGACCCGTTTTGGTTCCCGGCAGTCTTGCAACTCACCTCCCCCACACTATAATATAAGGGAATTGGGCGTCCGACATACCAGGCTCTTCTAAGTGATGGGATCAATTGATGTTTTTAGTTCAGGTTAGGTTTGCCTGTCGTCCCTACTGGGACATAGGCCGCTGACAAGAGCTTCCCAGGCGTCTCTGTCCTGGGCTAGTCTCTCCAACTGCCCCCAGGTGTATCCAATTTTCTTGGTGTCTTCTTCCATGTCAAGTCTCCAGGTCTTTCTTTGTCTGCCTCTCCTCCTCGTGCCCTGTGGATTCCAGGTGAGGGCCTGTCTTGTTATGCTAGATACAGGCTTCCTGCGTAATTGATGTTTTTACACAAATAATATTTTGCCTGTGCTTCTAGTATTAAAATGCACTTTAGTAGTAATATGATATATGTAATTGCTTAATTGTATGTCTTCTTCTTCTTCGTTCTTAATTTTTAGTGTTGGAAGGGATCGAGCCTTATCTGCCAGAGGGTTTAAACTCGAGACTTTTTTTCGAATTTATCAACCATGAGCTTTTGCCGACTCGACCACGCTTCCATTACAATTAAGGATACGTGTCAACTGGTTATGCGCCATTGAGGCCATTGACTCCGATTTCAGCCTGCTTTTCTTTTTGGATTTGCTTCCATGGCCTTTGTTCAACCAAGAACAAACTACAAGGCAGCAGTTGTTTGATTTTGGAGTTGTCTCTCCTAGAAGAGTGTCTGTCCCCAGCTAGCAAGCCTCATCTGCCCGAGGGTTCGAACTCGAGACTTTTCAGTTATACAACCATGAGCTTTTCCGACTTGACCACGCCGACCCTTTGTATGTAATAATGCACTAAAAAGCAGAAAATACATTATTTTCTTTAAATATATAATAGGCTAATACACTTTTGTTTAAATTACTATAATAAACCGGGAGTGATCTCCCCTAAACTTTCTCGAATATTCTTATATAAAATAACAGGGGATGGGAACTCGGGCTATAGAAATGATTTTTAATCCATTTTAAATACTTAAAGTTTTAAAAAAAAATTCATAAAAAACGTTTTAATAACAAGCTTTTATGTAAAAATGCACTAAAAAGTAGAAAATAAATTATAGACTACTATTTAAATAACTATAAAGAAAAGCGTGGGTCACTTTAGTATCTATTGGATACCTTTACTAATGTTAAGGAAGACACCCACGCTTTTCTTTATAGTTATTTAAATAGTAGTCTATAATTTATTTTCTACTTTTTAGTGCATTTTTACATAAAAGCTTGTTATTAAAACGTTTTTTATGAATTTTTTTTCAGTACTTTACATGTTTTATTTACAATAGAGTTATATGACTAAAAACCATTGCGCGCCTACTGAACATCACGTTCAGTAGGCGCGCAATGGTTTTTGAACGCAGCCATTACGTGATGGCGCAGCTATTGAAGGTGATGACGCGTGTGGTGTGGTTGGCTAGATATGCCTACTAATTCGGTCCAAATTTTAATAATTCATAAAAAATTAATTAGGCATCCAATTAAGTCAAATTTAGTTTCAGATTGCATTGTCTTCATGTCTTGACCCACGTGCCAACTGTGAATCGTATCGGTCAAGTAGAACTGTCCGAATTTTCACTCCTGCGTTTCCGTCTAGACAGACTGACGAGGAAGTGAGTTAAATAAAAGCTTGTAAAAAAATTCATAAAAAACGTTTTAATAACAAGCTTTTATGTAATGATGCACTAAAAAGTAGAAAATAAATTATAGACTACTATTTAAATAACTATAAAGAAAAGCGTGGGTCACTTTAGTATCTATTGGATACCTTTACTAATGTTAAGGAAGACACCCACACTTTTCTTTATAGTTATTTAAATTGTAGTCTATAATTTATTTTCTACTTTTTAGTGCATCATTACATAAAAGCTTGTTATTAAAACGTTTTTTATGAATTTTTTTTCAGTACTTTACATGTTTTATCTACAATAGAGTTACATGACTAAAAACCATTGCGCGCCTACTGAATATCACGTTCAGTAGGCGCGCAATGGTTTTTGAACGCAGCCATTACGTGGTCGTGATGGCGCAGCTATTGATGACGCGTGTGGTGTGGTTGGCTAGACATGCCTACTAATTCGGTCCAAATTTTAATTAATTCATAAAAAATCAATTAGGCATCCAATTTAGTCAAATTTAGTTTCAGATTGCATTGTCTTCATGTCTTGACCCACGTGCCAACTGTGAATCGTGTCGGTCAAGTAGAACTGTCCGAATTTTCACTCCTGCGTTTCCGTCAAGACAGACTTACGACAGACAGAGAAAGTGAGTTAAATAAAAGCTTGTAAAAATAGAATACAATCTCGTAGACAAATTAATTGCACACCAAGTGAACGCTAAATAAAAAACGCATAATAGTGCGCAATATTATTAGTACTTTAAAAATTTACATTAGTTTTTCGAGAAATCGGAAGTAGCGTAAAGTACTACTTCCAGTCAACGGAAATTACTCAAAATTTAACAGAAGGTAGAGAATTAGATCTTTTACTTACATGTGAAATTTCATTTATCTATCTAAAATAGTACTCAAGTTATAGGCTTTTGAAAAATTTAAAGTAGAAAAAGTACCACTTCCGGTTGTCGGAAATCGCTCAAAAGTTGATACGGATCTACGATTTTGATATAATACTTATATATGAAATTTCATCAACCTAGCTGTAACGGTACTCAAGTTATCGTGTTTACACACGGACACACAGACACACAGACACACACACAGACATACGGACAAGATTGCAAAATTATGTTTTTCCGTATCAGTGAGGTGTAAAACGTCGAGATTTGTAAAAATCTCGATTTTTTTTTTGCACGATTACAATACTTTCTCTATACTACGTAGATCTAGATCTATATACGAGAAAGTAAAAAACCAAAGAATTACTGCTTTTAGAAATAATGTTCCTGTATAAATATAATCACTGTACATTTGAATATCCTTTCTTTGAAATAAGTATAAATATACTTATTTCAAAGAAAGGATATTCAAATGTACAGTGATTATATTTATACAGGAACATTATTTCTAAAAGCAGTAATTCTTTTTTTTTTACTTTCTCGTAAATACGAAGCATAGAGAAAGTCTTGTAATGGTGCAAAAAAAAATCGAGATTTTTACAAATCTCGACGTTTTACACCTCACTGATACGGAAAAACATAATTTTGCAATTTTGTCCGTATGTCTGTGTGTGTGTCTGTCTGTCTGTCAGTCTGTCTGTCTGTGTGCAAACACGATAACTTGAGTACCGTTGCAGCTAGGTTGATGAAATTTCATACATAAGTATTTTATCAAAATCGTAGATCCGTAGCAACTTTTAAGCGATTTCCGATAACCGGAAACGGAACTTTTTTCTACTTTGAATTTATCAAAAGCCTATAATTTGAGTACTATTTCAGATAGATAAATGAAATTTCACATGTAAGTTAAAAATCTAATTCTCTACCTTCTGCCAAATTTTGAGTAATTTCCGTTGACCGGAAGTACTAATTTACGCTATTTCCGATTTCTCAAAAAAACGCATGTAAATTTATAAAGTACTAATAATATTCCGCACTATTATACACATTTTGTTTCGCTTGGTGCGCAATTCTTTTTTCTATGAGATTCCATTCTATTTTTAAAAGTTTAAGTAATACAAAATCATGTCTATATTCCGAGTTATATAAGAATATTCGAGAAAGTTTAGGGGAGATCACTCCCGGTTTATTCTTACACGTGGAATTTCGTATATCTATCTGAAACATTACTCAATTTATAGGCTTTTGAAAAATTCAAGGAATAAAAGGTTCCACTTCCGGTTATCGGAAATAGTTCAAAATTTGATACGGATCTACGATTTTAATATATTACCTATATATGAAATTTCATTAACCTAGCTGTAACGGTACTCATGTTATAATGTTTACACACACAGACACACATACACACACACATACATACGAACAAGAGTGCAAAACTATGTTTTTCCTACTCCGGGAGCCCTGAAACGTCGAGATTTGCAAAAATCTCGAATTTTTTTTTTTTGCACGATTACAAGACTTTCTGTATACTTCGTAGATACGAGAAAGTAAAAAATTCCACGTCGTTACAAAGACTATAATGTGGTTGAGAGTTAGCAATTTTAATTATACTAAAAACTTTTACGTAATTTTACTGTCTAAGTATAAAACATATTCCGTGTCTTTGCAAACAATGTAAGTCAAAAGTCAAGGTTGTTATAGTTAAAAAGAAATAAAATTGTTTTTAGTTAATATTGTTAACTTGTTATATCGTTCCGTTTAATTTGTTAATTATTATCTACCGCCTTTCCTTTGTTTGTTAATATTTTGCACATTAACTCCCTTATTTATAATTTCTTTCAATGTCCTTTGGTCAAACCTATTATCGTATTGTTCATATTGATGATTAAATTTG